TGGGGTGGGACGCGCCCCCCGATCTCTGCCCCTCCCCTCCCGCAGCCCTCCGGCCTCCCCCAGCGCTGCCCTCCAGCCCGGGGAGGGGCCAGGTACTGGGGATACTGGGAGCACTGGGGGGCAGCTGGGAGGGACATGGGGGATTTGGGGAGTATGGAAGGGGGAATTGGAGGGGCAGGGGTAACTCTCCTTTGGAATTGGAGGGGAGAACTGGGAGCATCGGGGGACACTGACAGGGACCCAGGGAATACTGCAGCACTAGGGGGGAACTGGGAGGAGATACTGCGGGATACTTTGAGTACTGGAGGGGAGCTGAGGGGAACTGGGAGGGACATAGGGGTATTGGGGGTGGGTCACTGGAAAGGGATTCTGTGGGTGCTGGGGGGAACTGGTCATGCTGAGGATACTGGGAGTGGCACATGGGAAACTGGGAACACTGGGGAGGACTGAGAGCCCGGGGAGTGACAGGGACCTGGGGGTTTTGGGACCCCATTGGGTCGGGCTGGGGTGTGTGGGAGGGGTCTGGGCTGGGTTAGGGTATCACTGTCACTATCACTGTCCCCGTCACTGTCACTGTCCCCATCACTGTCGGGTGACAGGTGATGATTGGCAGCTCTGAGCGCTTAGGCTGAAAAATTCCTGTGGGAAAAGGAAATTCCGGCAGTGGAAGATGGAGGCCACAGCTCATCCAGCCCATCGCTCACCTGCTCAGGCCCCCATGGCAGGGAAGAGCCACAGCCTGGGGAAATTCGCATGCGAGGAAGGAGACAGAACTAGCAAACTGGGGTATTAATTAATAAAAAGTTCTGCCTTCTGTAACCAACGATGAGCTGACGCCTTCAGTCATTAAAATGTCCTGATGGTGCAAAGCTTTGCTGATGGGGGAGCAGGGGAGCAGCCTTTGGAGGAACCCCCAGCTGCTGCTGTGCCGAGCCGAAGTGGGAATTGGGGAAAAAAATGAGAATTGGGGGAAAAAACAGGAATTGGGGAAAAAAAAATTGGGTTAAAAATTAGGAAAGAGACAAAATTGGGGCAGATTTGGGGAAAAATGGTCCAAAAAAGGTAAAAGATTTGTTCAGATTTGGGTAAAAAAGTGCCATCTGTTTAAATGGAGTTAGCTGTCCCATTTGCTCATTTTAAGTGTTACCTTTTCCAGCATTTCAAGGGTTTAAAGCTGCATTTCAGGGCACTTCTACCCACACCCCGGCACCAAATATTTCCAACGGGAGCAGGCCCAGCGGGTATGTAACGGTAATGCCACCTGGGAGTCCGTTCTTTTTCTTATTTTCATTTATAATGTAGAGAGCCCTGATTAAAGGTCCCTATGAGACACCATTCATATCAATACTATTCTTCTCCACCCTCATTAATCACAGGTGGAGTGCTACTTAGCAATCACTAAAAAATAATTATGCAAGTCCATAAATTATCCAACTTAGCTGGCAAGACTGCTGAAACACAAAGTTTTTCTTCTTACCTTTATTTTTTCCTTTGCTCCATTGCTCTGAGTAATTCTAGCAAAAAAGAAAACACTGCTTTTTCCCAAAGAGTTTTCTTCTATGCAGAGCTCCTTACCTCAAATTTAACTCAGAGGAGCCAAACAGCTACAGTCCCTCTGAGGGCTTTTATACCCGCTGGGATTTGCCGCCTCCCCTTTCCCAGGCATCGTGGGAAAAAGAGGCGGGCCCAATTAGGGGTATATTAACCCCAGGCTGTGCTAAGGGGCATTATTCCTTCTAGAGGAATCAGCTTGGGTAAAGAGCTCCTCTCTCATTTCAGTGAAGAGGCTCTTTCACCTTACTTCAGCCTGCTAAAAGCAGGCATCTTTTGGGCATTTGAAGCAGCAGAAGTTTTGAAGACACCTTGAAGAAAACAATATTGAATACAGGGAGTATTTAAGTTAATGATTCTGGGCTGGGGGTTCAGGGGCGATAAGATGCTTTTATAATGACTCTTCTTCATGGCTTTTTTTTTAGGAGGATTGCAATTTCCAGAAGTTCTAGATCACGTCAAGTGCGATGTTTCTGATTCTCTCAGCAGATTCATCGTAACACAAAGGGAACCGCCCCCACAGCAGCTTTCCTTAGCAGCAGATCGGCCTCTCGCACGGATTCGCTTCGGAGAGATAAGTCGAGGGCTGTGGTCACAGAGGGGATCAAAACAGGGCGGTGGGGTAGGATTCACACCGGTTAGGGGTTTTGAGTCATGCGGAGGGGAAGGTTTGAGAAATGGCCTCTGGGGCCACAGTGAGGGAAAGGCTCACTTTAGCTAACAATGCTGAGGTGGGCAGGGCAGAGCAGTCCCAGGGTGGGTTGTCACTTGTCTCTGGTGGGTTGTCACTTGTCTCTCGTGCTTTCGTATCTTCTGTGCATCTCATGTAAAGCGTCTCTTGCCTTAGCCCTCCCAGGAGCTTATGAGAAAGACCAGGTCCTTCCGTTCATCTCCCATCTTTGCGTTCCTCGGCCCGACGCCGGCGAAACTTCGATTCGGGAGCTCGGACACGCATCAGAATCGCATCTGTCTTTAGAAGCATGTGATCGGATGTTTTTTTAGGTCTTGTTCTCAGCTGTGTTGACAGCTATGTGCAGCAATGTTTCTTTACAGTGGATAAGGACTTGTGCCGATTCAAAGGCAGGCAGAGGCTTCCAGCCACAGGATTCTCAGGCATCCGTCTCTGCGGTTCTTGGAAAATAGTTGTTCTGTTAGCATCTTTTTCCTCCAGGGTCATCCGAGCCCAGCAGGCTCGCCTCGGGTCCCTCCTCGGTCATCTCGTTCAGCATTCTCTCGGTCCTCGTGAGGACTTTTTTGTCTCAGAGTTTTCTCTCCCTGTCATGTCCCCACGTGTCACGGGTGTCTGGGGGTATTTGGTCCGGAGCTGCTCTGCCCTGCCGCCCAGCCCGGTTGTAGGTGTTTAAGGACAAGTCCCGGGCACTTGTAATCGGAGACTTGTAGTACGGGCTGTGGTTGGAGTCTAGGTGGTATTCTTACGTTGGCAGCAGGTGTCTGGAGCTGTGAAGTTACCCTGCAGCACTTTGACTCTTTTCCTAACTTTCTTTCAGATGCAGATAGATTGACCTCGTGGCAGAACACCTGTCCCAGATGAGGGAGTCCCCCTGAGAAGGTCGGTCACGGTTTTACTTTGCAGCGGGGCTGGAACCGGTCACTGTGTTACAGCTCTGCTCTTTGTATTTATTTCTAGGAAGTAAAGCCGGAAAGCAGCGGGTAAGGCGAAGCAGGTGGAAGGTGAGCCTCGGTTGGTGGAGAGAAGCCGTTGTTCTTGCTGGGGTCTCAGTTTCTGGTGCAACTCCAAGCATCCCTGCTTGTTTGTGTGTTTTAGGCTGCCTCCTGATGCTGTGCTGAGGCCCCTCACTGACCTGCCAAGAGACCCGGTTTGGTTCTCTGGTGAGCCCCAGCAAATATTACCGGAGTCTGTGACGAAGCCTCGACCTCGTCCACGTGTCGGTGCGGTCCCGGTACCCTTTAGGCGCGGCCGAGGAGTCGTGGCGAGTCGGGGGAGTCGGAAGGAGCGGCAAGGGCGCGCTCAACTTTCAGCGACGCTACATCGCCTCCTCTCCGTTTATCCTAGGCGTACACTGCGACGACGGCGTCCGCCTCGGAGCGTGGCCGAAGTGTGCGGCCGGAGGACCCGGGAGTTCCTAAGAGACGGTGAGTAGGAGTTGGGTTTTGGTGAATATGCCACTAAGATTGTGCACTTATATTTGGTTTTCTTTATCATAGGTGATGATACTTGTCTGAGACAACAGCCCGGTGAGAGAAGAACTTCCCAGACAGCGAGGTGGCTTTGTTTGGCCCCCGACCGGCCTCTTGCTGTGACTCACATCTTCAGCCCTCTGAGAGATAAGTGGGGCCCGCAGAGGGGATCAAAGCGGGGTGGCGGGTCGGGACTGAGATCAATTTGGGTTTTTGAGTGAGCTTTGGGGATGGGGAAGTTCTGGAAATGACCCCATAGGCCCCAGTGAAGGGAAGCCTCACTTTGGTTTGCAATGCTGAGGCGAACAGGGCAGAGCAGTCGCAGGGTGTGTTGTCACTTGTGTCTTGTGCCTTCTGTGTCTTCTGTGCATCTCGTGTAACATCTCTATTGCCTTAGCCCTCCCAGGGGCTTATGAGAAACCCCAGGGTCCTTCCGTTCATCTCCCATCTTTGCGTTCCTCGGCCCGGCGCAGCTTCGATTCGGGAGGTCGGACACATGTCAGAATCGCATCTGTCTTCAGAAGCACATGATCTTTTTAGGTCTCGTTCTTAGCTGTGTTGACAGCTATGTGCAGCAATGTTTCTTTACAGTGGATAAGGACTTGTGCCGATTCAAAGGCAGGCAGAGGCTTCCAGCCACAGGATTCTCAGGCATCCGTCTCTGCGGTTCTTGGAAAATAGTTGTTCTGTTAGCATCTTTTTCCTCCAGGGTCATCCGAGCCCAGCAGGCTCGCCTCGGGTCCCTCCTCGGTCATCTCGTTCAGCATTCTCTCGGTCCTCGTGAGGACTTTCTTGTCTCAGAGAGTTTTCTCTCCCTGTCACATCCCCTCGTCTCACGTGTCACAGGTGTCTGGGGGTATTTGGTCCGGAGCTGCTCTGCCCTGCCGCCCAGCCCGGTTGTAGGTGTTTAAGGACAAGTCCCGGGCACTTGTAATCGGAGATTTGTAATGCGGGCTGTAGTTGGAGTCTAGGTGGTATTCTTATGTTGGCAGCAGGTGTCTGGAGCTGTGAAGTTACCCTGCAGCACTTTGACTTTTTTCCTAACTTTCTTTCAGATGCAGATGGTTTGACCTCGTGGCAGAGCAGCTATCCCAGATGATGGGGGTCCCCCTGAGAAGGTCAGTCACGGTTTTACTTTGCAGCGGGGCTGGAACCGGTCACTGTGTTACAGCTCTGCTCTTTGTCTTTATTTCTAGGAAGTAAAGCTGGAAAGCAGCAGAGAAGGTGAAGCATTGCGAAGGTGAGCCTCGGTTGGTGGAGAGAAGCAGTTGTTCTTGCTGGGGTCTCAGTTTCTGCTATAACTTTAATCCCTTGTTTTTTTTATTTTAGGTGGTCTACTTGCAAGATATCCCAGCCAAGGATACTGGAGGACAGGTGGGTGCAAGCTCTGTGTGTGTTTTGGTGTTTAAGTCCCTGGTTTGCTGCTAGTCTTTAGTTCTCTAAGATAGAATGAAAGAACCACATCACAAATCCCACCTTGGGGATCCTGACACACATTGGTGTCACGGACAGGATTCTGAGAGACAGAAGGGGTTGCAGGTTTATTGTGCAGTCATTATCAAAGGAAAGACGTTTCGCCTCAGCCGCCCCTAGCCTGCCACGCTGGTGAGCAGTGTCTAGAAAGCAAGGGAGGTGACTCGAATTTGTTAAAAACAGCACATGCCTCAGGGCAAAGCACCCCACACTCGTTTGAGGGCTCTGTCTTCAGAACTTTACAGGGGATCTTTGAGTATGAGAAGTGGGACTGAGAGGTTTTTCTGTTTAAAGTCTCTGGTTTGCTGATAATCTTTAGTTCTCTAAGATAGAATGAGAGAACCACATCACAAATCCCACCTTGTAGATCCTGACATGAATTGGTGTCACAGACAGGATTCTGAGAGACAGAAGGGGTTGCAGGTTTATTGTGCAGTCATTATCAGGGGAAAGACGTTTCGCCTCAGCCGCCCCTAGCCTGCCACGCCGGTGAGCAGTGTCTAGAAAGCAAGGGAGGTGACTCGAATTTGTTAAAAACTGCACATGCCTCAGGGCAAAGCACCCCACACTCGTTTGAGGGCTCTGTCTTCAGAACTTTACAGGGGATCTTTGAGTACGAGAGGTGGGACTGAGTGGTTTTTCTTCTGTTTCAGTCCCTGGTTGGCTGACAAGCTTTTGTAGTCCAAGATGGAATAAAGGAACCACATTGGGAATTCCACCTTGTGCATTGTGACAGTAACTCAGTGCTTTTTTCTTTTCTGTCTTTGCAGGATTCGGCGTTGCCCCGAGCACGGCAAGGAGCAGAGATGAGCAGGTGAGTTGGCATTTTGAAGCTAAGTTAGAGGACAGGGCTGTAGTGGGATGGGCTCCTCTGAAGCCAAGGGAGAGGGTTTCTTTGCAAGCTCGCCAGAGCTTTTGCCGGGCAGGGCAGTTCCAATCCATCTTCTCGTTGTCTCGTGTTTCACGTCATCGGCCATCTCAGCCTCTCGACGTCATCGTGGATTTTTTCGCCTGAGGAACCGGCCTTCGCATCCACAGCTATCGCCGCGTTCACCCGGCAGACATCGCCTGCGAC